CATGTTGCTCCTCCCCGAGGGGTTCTCTATCCTTTCTCTCCACCTACCAAGGCCAAGATCAAACTTAACCCGTCAGAATTGACAGTCCCATGCCACCTCCCCCACCCCTCCGCAGCACCCGGCAGATGGTATGACATTTAAGACGCTGCAGCCACACTGCCTGAGCTCAAATCCCAGCTCTCCAACTTATATACTGTGTGACCCTGGGAAGTCGCTGCACATCTGTTACCTCATCTGGAAAACGGGGGTGATGATAGTACCTCTCTTGTGTGATTGTCAGGAGGATTAAGTGAGTTACTATGTTAAGTGCTTAGAACAGGGCTGGTATCTTATTAAGTGTTGTCTAGTGCCTGCTGCTGTTATCATCATCATTGCCATCATTATCATCATCATTTGAGCATGTCCCACAGTATATGGCAGCTCCCTGGATTGGCCCGCTCCTGTGCAGCTAGTGATGTCTGGGAGCTGTGCTAAGAAGGTTTCTCTGGCCTGGTTCCCACTCAGCCATGACCTTAGGGTGGATGTGTACATGCGCACGTGGTAAATTTGCCAATTCTACTAGACGTTGGATCTTTTCAGCAGGTCTTGTTCATGTCTGTGCATCCTTTGCCTGGCATGTGGCAGGTGCTCAGGAAATGTTAGCTTAGTGAGGACTTGGACACTTGGCCCTTCAATCTTATCATGTCAGTGGCTCCTTGGGAGCAAGGTGGCCTCAGCAGCATGGTGGCAATAAGACTCCTTTCTGGGAGTCTTGGTGCCAGGAATTATGGCCCCGGGAAGAAGACTGTGGCTCACCTGTTCCCCACGCCATCGTAAACCCAGTGAGTGGAGCCGATGCCCTGATAGTCTGATGCCCAGTAATACAGACACGAGTTCAAATGTAAACTGTAGAGCAAGTAGGCTGTGGTCCTGATAACCCTGCAAAAGAAGGAAAGGTGTGAATGCAGCAGCAGAAAGGGCAGCCGTGACATCTCGCCCAGGGGCAGGGACACAGAGAGCAGGCCAGTCCTCACCTCCCCGATGCCCACCCCATAGATTCCCCTGTTAGAGCCCCAAGGCTCTGCCCAGCTGCCTGGAAGGGTGGACAATGTCCAATGGAAACCAGCCGGTGGCTGGACTGAGCCAGCGGGATGCCCTTTTGAGGCTGTGCCAGTTAGGAATGGCAGTGCTTGAACGGAGAGCTGTCAAGACTAGGGGCTGGAATTAGCACAGAGCTACATGTGCCGGCAGTTCTGGGAGGGCGTGGAGGAGTCAGAAGGAGGTGTGTCTTTGGGGAGGGGCAGAGAAGGAACAGATGTGTGCAGAGAAGTGCCGCTTCATGAGAGGGGAGGAGAGGAGCTTTGTCTCCCAGTGTGGCCCGGCTGGTGTCAAGTTCCATCCTTGGACATCTGCCAGATGGCCCACTGTGTCCTTACAAGCGGTTTGGTGGGGTCAGTTCCCTGAGCTGAGACCAAAATGAGGCCTTGCTCTCTGGAAATGCGGGTGAGCCCTGTGTGTCGACCTATGTGTGCCCTTCTCACAATTGGGGGAAATGGGACATTCCTGGTTCTCTAAAACACAAACATCCCTTTAGAGAAGGGCCAGGAAGAGGCCCGGCTTCCGGCGATGGTGAGGCCTGCAGGGCCAGGGAAACTTGAAAGGGGAAGTGAGGTGGGTAGAGAATGCTCTGTGTGTGTGTGTGTGTGTGTGTGTGTGTGTGTGTGTGTGTGTGTGTGTGTAGGGGGTCTCACCTGTAAACGTATGCTTTGCTGAGGATGGATTCCAGGCGGTTATTAAACTCGAAGAAGGCCATGTACTGGGAGGAAGAACACGGATCAGGGGAGCCCCCTGTGTGGGGTGACACAGGGCCCTCTCCACCCCAGCCCATTCCCCACAGGTGCCAAGACTGGGTTCTTTCTGCAGCCCCCAGTGAGAGGGGCTAGGCAAGGAACGTTGAAAATCAGACATCTTTAGCCCTTAGAGGTCAGGGCCAGAAACTCCATTTACTAATCTGATGGAAACCATGCACCTCTTCTCTTGGAAATAACATATAATTATGTCCTTACAGTTTGCATATAATTCCAGGGGACTCCTAGATCTTCTGAACCCAATCATGAAACTTTTAGGGGTACCTATGTCCCAGGTTGAGGACATTGTTTTGTATGTTTACTTAGAAAGAAACAATTTTATATAAAGGAGCAGCATCCCTAACACCCCCACTTAAATCCTTTAAGGCTCATGTATAATAACAACTGTTCTTTACTTTGGTGGCTGCACTTTACAGATGACCCTTGAACAACGCAGGGGTTAGGGCCACCAGCCCTCTTGCAGTCGAAAATCCATGTGAAACTTTTGACCCCTCAAAAACTTTACTAATGGCCTACTGTTGATCAGAAGGCTTATTGATAATAAAACAGTCAATTAACATATATTTTGTATGCTCTATGTTTTATATACTGTATGCTTACCATAAAGTAAGCTAGAGAAAGTATTATTAAGATAATCATAAGGAAGAGAAAATGCATTTATANCCAACTTGGGCCAGTGAAGCAACGTCCTCCACAACTAGACTGAAGAACAAAAGGACAGCAACTTGTCTGTTCCCCTTCCCCCAATTCCCCACCACTGTTCCCATCCCCCCAATTCCCCAATAAAAATCTTTTAAAAAAAAGAATAGGCAAAACAAAAACAAACCACAAACACCTTGGGTTGGCGCCTATGCAAGGGCCATCAGTCCGCAACCTTTGCCCTGTCCCACCCCTTCTTCTTCTCCCCCCCTCCACTCCCACCCCCGCCATTTTCCTGGTATCAGGACCAAGACCGAGGAAGCAGTCCCATCTACACTGTCAAGACTCTGCCCGTCTTGAGGCTCCTCACTTCCCTTTTCTGTAAAGTGGAGTTCCTCATCCTGGCCCCCACGGTTCTGTGTCCAGGGAGCAAAGCCTGAGACATATCAGAGTTCCATACTCAAAGCTGGACAAAGTCCCCTTGTGCCAAACAACCTGTTGGTCTGGGGGCAACTGGCCAGTGCACAGAGCTGCGGACACTCCTCCTCCTAGCAACTCTGCTCTACCTGGGCCCACAAACCTCACTGGGTCTTCAAAAACACTCCTTGCAGCCCAGCTCCCCACCGCCAGGGGGCAGTAAATCCCAGACCACGCCGCCGCTGCCTTGGGCCACTCACCTTCTTGCACACATAGTCGTTGGGCAGGTAGACAACAGAGCGAAGCCGCTTCAGCATGTCAAAGATCATCTGTCGGTCACAGCCCTGTGCGGGGCAGGAGGAGAAAGGAGCCCCTGTTTAGATGAAGGTGTGGGCTGGGGGCCTCCCAGAGACATGAGGGGGGAGGGTGCTGGGAGGGTGGTACCTGGAAGAGCGCCACTTTGCTGACAATGTCATAGTTCACATCGATGGCGAGGTCTAGCCGCATCTTGTCCGGAAGCTGTACCATCAGCTCTGACTCATCTGCGAATAAGACCCTGGCAGAGGTCAGGGGCACAGCCAGACCCTTCGCCAACACATGGGCCACATCCACACCACAGCGGCTGGCCCGGACACACCGTTCCTCTGGCACTCAGAACCACTCTAAATTGGGAGAGTGCCCTCTCTCGCTTTTGTGGATGCCATTCCCTTGTGTGTCCTTTCCAGGTGAACTCCTACTCATTTTTCAGAAAACAACACAAGTATCACCTCCTCCAGGAAGCCTTCCCTGAGGGCCCCCCACCCAGCTGTGATGTTAGCAGTCCCTGTGCAGTAGCACTTATCACACCCATTACGACAATTGTTTGTTAATGATCCATTTTCCCTACTCACACTATTAGAACAACATCAGCAAGAGCTAGTCTTTCGAGCACTGTTTTTACAGAGTGCTTTACAAAGATGATTTTATTAAATCCTTCCAGCAACCTAAGAGGTGCCCATAACAATAATCCCCACTTTACAGACAAGGACAGAGAGACTCAGGAGGGCAGTGACTTGCCCACAGCCATGCAGTACAGCCTAGGGGGATGGACTCAGGATCCCACCCAGGCCACAGGGCCTCAGAGCCTGTCCCAGGAGAGCCGGGCGGAGTCTGTTTGGTCCATTGTGAGGTCTGTGGTGCCCAGCAGAAAGTCTGGCATAGAATGAAAGTTGGTAACTGGAAACAGGAAATTCACTACCTGACCCCAACCCCGATGCCCCTCCCACTGCACCACAATTATTCATGGGCTCAACCTCTGTGTGAGCCTAGGCAGGTCAGGGCCCTCTATGGTCCTTAATATTCACTCCTGTGAAAGGGGACAATGATATAGATGTCAAAAGCTGTCACCAGAACTAAATGAGGCAATGGATATGAACATGCCTTGTAACCTGTAGAGTCATATGCACTAGCAGCAGATAATAATGAAGATTCTAACATTCATTGTCCACAGACTTGCTAACACCCCCAACTCAGGAGACCTTGGGGCTGAACGTGGCTTCTTTGAGACCAGAGGGAACCCCATGGAGGCAGTGGGGCCCTTTTATTTGAGTGAGGAAGTTGGGGGGCTCTAGGCACAATGCCGATGACCTATGGGCTTTTCAGAGGCCTCCAGAATGATGTCTAGGCTCTGTGAAAACAAAATTATCAGCTCCCCAAAATAAAAAAGAAACTGGGGGAAAGGGGCTTCATTAACATATACTTAGCATATTTAAATGTAATTAAGGGCTCCATTTAGAATCCATGGAAACTTCACCACATTTGGAAACAATTTTCAGGTAAGATTCTCCACTTTGTAAGAATTACTGAGTGGGCCGGCCGAGTGGCGCATTGGTTAAGAACTGGCTTGGGATGCCAGAGGGCACCAGTTCGGATCCCACATATGAGGGCCAGTGACACTGCCCTCTACAGCTAAGATGCTGAACAACAGCTCAACCTGGAGCTGGGCTGCTGAGTCGCTGGCGACAGCGTAGGCTGCAGCCCCTGTAGCAGTGGGTTGCCATGGGCTACCGTGTGTAGCCAGCAGCCAGCGTGGGCGGCCAGCAGCCGCAGTGAGCGGCCGTCCGGAAGCTGGCGACTGATCTGCCTCGCCCGGGAAGAGCGCAATGATGGTGCCAACTTGGGCCAGTGAAGCAACGTCCTCCACAACTAGACAGAAGAACAAACGGACAGCAACGTGTCTGTTCCCCTTACCCCAATTCCCCAATAAAAATCTTTAAAAAAAAAAAAAAAGAATTACTGAGCATACCCCATCATGGTCAAGAAAGCAAAAACAATGGTGAATTAAATGCACTGTTATAGCCAAATAATTTCAGAAGCAAAGTATAACATCAACAAATTTACAAAGAAAACATATGTGTGTATATGTGTGTGTGTGTGTGTGTGTGTGTGTGTATACATACACACACATATGGAGAGAAAGGGAGATTCTTCCTTCTCTCCTGACTTCAATTGTACTTCCATCTCTAATGGGCACACCTTTCAAGGTGGGTGAAGTGAGGTGGGCAAGGCATGCACAAAACAGGCCCCTCAAGTCTCCAGGGTCTCCTGCTGGTCCAGCTTGGGGCACCTCACAGGACTCCCTAGGTCCCTCTCATTTAAATGTAGGGGCCGCAGCCAAGAGAGGCCCCAGGGCTCAGGCCTCAAGGACACAGGACGAGGGCAGGGCCCAGGAAGGCCGAGTGTCGGGCAGCAGGAGTCTTACCCAGCATGCCTTGGGAGTGCCAGGTGTACTCGTACCAGGTCTTGACACGGTTCTGCACGGACCTGGGGATCTTGTAGGAGTTCATGTACTTCACTGTGCTGTCCATGCAGCTGCGGTAGTAAGTCTGGCCTGCGGTGGCAGCCCCCACCACGTCTCTCATCTGGGGGCAAGGGTGGGGGGTCAAGGGTGAGAGTGGGGCCATTACATGGGCTCTGGGGCCATGTGTCATGGGCACATTTACTTTACACAGAACAGGGGTGAGTGCTGAAGGCACTGCGGGAGATCAGGAGAGAGGGAGGCCCGAGTCTACACACAGAGGTTTTGTTGGTGGAGAAGTTCTACCTCCAGCAAGGATGGAGGAGGAGAGGGGGGCGGCTGCTGGCCCCTTGGGTGGCCTCAGGTCCCTGGGGCCACACGAGGAGGGGATGCTTCCCTGGGCTGGGCTGATTCTGGTACAACATGGCCCCTCTGTGCCAGAGACACTTTGACCACACCCTGGAGGAAATATGCACCCGATGTACAGTTCCTCAGGGTGAATCCCCTCAAAGGTAACTCTGAGGACCAGCAATTGTCACCTTCTGCACTGACTAGAATATGAGATGTGCCCCCAGCACAACAGAAACCCAAAGGGGTTTCTCTCCAAGGGAACAGCCCAAATCCTCAGCTTTGGCAGAAAGCTATTCAACCCAGCTCTCCAAGATATCCTGAAGGGATTGACATTTCAAGTGGGAATATCCTCAGAGGGAATGGGACTCAGGCTTCCATCACCACCCCCTTCACCCAACGGGTCCCACAGCTCCAGGCTCCTAACTCTAAGTCCAGTGCTCTTTCCTGGGCTTACTCCAAAAGGCACTGGCACAGATGGGGACATTTCTGGCAGCAGAGGGGAGGAGAGTGGCCCTGCAGGCAGGTAGGTGGCAAGCCAGACTAGTGTACCCAGCTACCTGTCCAATCATCACGGAGAAAGCGAAGACACCGGTGAAATAGTTCAGCAGCTGGAAGACAATTTCAAAGAGTGTCTTGGGGTCGGGCAGCCCGCCAATGGTGATGAGGGTCTTCACAGCCCAGTAGTAACAGCGAACGTAACTAGAGAGAGAAGAGGAAAGGGAACTCGGTCATCACAGGCCCCACCCTGCCAACCCCGCGCGGCCTGGCTCGGACAGATGTGCACTGTGCAAGAAAGGAAACCCTTTACAGCTTAGACGTGCAAGGAAGACACCCCGTCACACCCAAAGAACTCTATAGTCTGTGGAGCACGTTCCCAGATGCTGGCTGGTTTGGCCATGGCTCTGCCCCAACCGTGCAGAGACATGTTGTTGTCCCCATTAGATGTGGAAACTGAGGTAGCAGAAAATTGGCAAGAAGACTTGGCAGGAAGACAGACCAGTCTGCCAATGGACCAGTTGGCAGGAGGCCTCATCCAGTCTGAAAATGACCCCAAGTCAGTCCTCCCCTGGGCACCATCCGCCAGCTATTTAGGCAGCATCATAGAAAATGGGCTCTGCATCCAGACTGCCTGGGCTCAAACCCAGCTCTGCCACCTTCTAGCTCTACAACCTGGACAAATGAGTCAATCTCACCAAGCCTCAGCTTCCTTCTCCTAAAACGGGCATGGCAGTAGAAGGTCCTTCACAGGTGATCA